TAAACAAACACAAATCACAAGGGATGGTCACCATTGTATGTGCACCTGCATACATAAGTGTGTATGAATTCAACACTGACAGGTTTATCTATCATATAACAGCTGCTCTGAAGCAGAATGGTAAATCCAGACTCTTGTAATTGTACTAGGCAGAACTCCAGATGGCAGAGCTAGAAAACGCTACCTCAGACATCAGAAAAAGATAAGTAGGGTAGGATTCTACCCTGTGCATCTAAATGAATGCACGACCAGAGATAGACAACCACTCACAGATTATACCTCAGAGAAGCAGCTAAAGCTAATCCAGCCCAGCCTAGAACATAAACATGCATGTGTGAGCGCTTGCATGCATCGGCCTTCAGAGCAAGCAGAGGTGCTTGGTAGATTGGTAGCTCATAGAACATACAGGGGGGAATTTATGGGTAAGTGAATGTCAGTTTGGATCTTTCTGCTTGTATTATTCTACATTTTTGTTTTGTGATTGTGCATGTAATGGAGATGGGTTTTTAGAGATGAAGGACTTGCACACTAATGAACTAACTATAAAGTATTATAGCATGGCTTTCAGTTATCTTGTCAGATAAACTGCTTATGACAGAAACTGTAAATCCATTTACATAGCCTAGAATACATCCTTTTCTATCATTCATAATTTTTGGGGTCAAACTTATTTATTTATTTAATAAATTAGCACTTCTATTCAGCAATGACACATTAAATTGGTGAATAGAAAGTTCAAAAGACATTTATTTGAAACAGAAATCTATTGTAAAAAGGCGTCGCCTTGGAATTATAAGGTTATATCTGACATTTTTGTCAAAATGGATTTATTCACATATTCGTATTCTGTGACAATTTATTTAGATTATGTGATGTTTGTTTTGTAAGCTGTGTACATTCTGGGCCTTTTTTTAGAAAACAAAAAGGGTTCTATCTACAGAAGTCTATGGACCGCAAAAACTTTGAAGCTCAATATCTCAAAACTGCTCAGAATACAGATAGAACCTTATAATTCCAAGGTGGAAAAGTGTATTTACTGTCAATTTTGATCAAAGAAACCTGAAAAAAAAATCACTGTTTCCACAAAAATATTAAGCAGCATAACTGTTTCTTGTGTACCGAATCAGCATATTAAAATGATGAAAATTCAGCTTTGTGTCACATAAATTGCAATATTATTTCACAATATTATTGTTTTTGCAGTTTTTTATTTTTGTTCAAATAAATGAAGCATTGATGAGCATAAGAGACTTTCAAAAATACTGTCTGACTCCAAACATTTGAATGGTAGTGTACGAAATTTTAACTGGTTGACCGTTTATATCGTTGCCAAATGTAAACTACCCTTATAAATCTATCCCATTAAATTTGGACTATAAGGCATTAAGGTATTATAAACATTAAATAAATTATGAATTACTGTGAAGCTGCCTTGAATCAGCGTGAACTGTGAAAAGAGCTATACAAATAAAATAAAATTTTAATTGATCTTCCTTCCAATACTCTATGCTGTATATGCTCTGTAATTGAGACTAATAAAAGTAATGCTGACTAATAAAAGTAAATCTTGTCAATGGTCAAATTTTTCATAAGTGAATCTTGCAAGGTTTCGTTGCAGTATGGTGAAAACAGGACCTGAAAAGCAACGTGTTTTACTTTTTGTGTAAACCATTCAAATTGTTTTTCTTTTTTAAAGAAATCATTTATGCTTACTAAGGCTGCATTTATTATTATTTATTTATTGTCATTATTCTGACTCCAAACCTATGGACAGTGAATGTCATATCTAATAGTTCTCACAAAAAAGAAAAGAAAACAGAATTTGTACCTCTATTTCTTAAAAAACTTTTTACAAGTACCCTGTTCATGAAAAGTCTGTTGATCAAAATGACTTTTTATTTATTTTAAGCAGTCGTTTTGTTTGTAATGATGTAACACATAGTACCTTTCCATTTAGTTTTGAGAATTTTAACAGAGACAAACAGTGATAATGACCTTTGAACCTTGATCTTAGAACACTGACTTGATCTTTGACCCTAACTAGAATTAAGAGTCAAGGCTAGTATTATGTATATGTGTATTAGGACTTTCTATGTGCCAGAAACTAGACCTCAGCCTTTACAGGGATTTTAGAATGTTCTAGTAGATTCATTCTGGTCAGCATTTACTGTGACCTGGATTCTGTAAATTATTCAAATTCCAGATAGGAAAGGTTTAGGAAAAAGTAGTCCTTTGATGAAATGTTTGGTTATAGCAATAGTAAAGTACAGTAAGGGGATATTAACTAAGGTCATACCAAAAACCAGATATGACCACAGTTAATGCTTCCTTTTTCAAAGCTTCATTGAGATTTATATTAAGATACATTAGTTAAATACAGCTCTGTGATAAGTAACCATATATATATTATTTTGAATACAACAGAAAATCTAATCGAACAGTCGAAAGAACTGTGATGCTATTTTATAGAGCAGACTGCATCGATAATGAGAAAATATCAATAAAAAGGTAATTTTACATGTGTTGTCAGAGTATAGAAATTCTAGACTAGATGAATGAGCACTATTTTTTCCAGCGAGGAAGTCATGTTATTATTCAGTACAGAAGCTGTGAAGACTGGAAGGCTTTTATGTAGAAAATGAATCCATAAAGTGCATTACACACCATAGCAAGTGTTTTGAATCTAATTCTAAAGCCTGTGGAAAATTAAATGAATAATTTTATTATTATGTTAGTTAGGGTTAGGGTTAGTTCACCTAAAAATTAAAATTAGGCTGTGTTTTACTCACCCCAGTACCATCCTAGGTGTATATGACTTTCTTCTTTCAGACGAAAGTTAGATTAAAAATTGTCCTGGCTATTCCAAGCTCTATCATTGCAGTCAGCGGGTGTTGCAGTGCTTCAGTCCAAAAGAAGTAAAATAAAAAGCGCCCATCTATAAAAAAACAGGCCTCCTGTAGCGAATCGATGCGTTTTTGTAAGAAAAATATCCATATTCAAAACGTAATAATCACTTTAATCTAGCTTGCGCTTACTGTTGTAAATGGAAGCAGTACTGGGCAGATGACGTATGAGGTCAGCTTTGTGCATGCGCCGCTCAGAAGTGACGAACGTGGAAACTAGAGAGATCAAAACAATGGTCACTAATTAGAAGTACAAAATGAGGATTTGTAAAGAAGAATGTCAGAGGATTTCGATATAAGCCAAGAGGAGACTGGTTTTCATTTGCTAAAGTAAGGAAATTTTGCTTCCTTTGATCCTGTAAACAAACGTTGGTTTTCACGAGACTCACCGGCGCATGCGCAATGCCGACATCTTACGTCATGCTCCCGGAACTGCTTCCGTGTACAACTATTGGCGCAAGCTATATTAAAGTGATTATTACGTTTTGAATATGGATATTTTTCTTACAAAAACACATCGATTCGCTACAGGAGGCCTTTGTTCATCCCCTGGAGCTGTGTGAGACACTTTTTTAATGGATGGGCGCTTTTTATTTAACTTCTTTTGGACTGATGGATGCAACACCCACTGAGTGGCATTAAACAGCTTGAAAGATCAAAGACCATTTTTAATATAACTCCGACTGGATTCGTCTGAAAGAAGAAAGTCATATACACCTAGGATGGCTCTGGGGTGAGTAAAACACTAATTTTCATTTTTGGGTGAACTAACCCTTTAATGGAGCTTTTAGTTGTTTCATTCAAGTGTCAGTGTTATTTCAGGTGGTTCTCCAGTAATGTCTTAGGAAAAATAAAAACTGACACATGTAAAAGACAACTGTTGACTGAGTAGAAATATAGAACTATAATGAATGTGCACTTTTCAATTTCATGTGAGCGCAAACATGATTATCATATGGTACTGATTAGAAATGTTTAGCAGAAAACAGAGAGATTATGATACAATAAATTTAATGAGTTTAAATAAATTAGATTAAAGCGGCAAAATAGAATAATGCAGTTTAGAAAACATTTGGTATTAAATTATAAAATTGAATTAAAGTACAAATACAAAAACGTAATATAATTAATAAAAACATTTTGAATTCAATTATGAAATTTCAATCAATTACAAATTCAAAATAAATAATATCATTTATAAAACATTTGTATTAAATTGAGAGTGTGAAATTGAATATAATTTATTATAAAACAGTATTATAATAATATTATAATAATATAAATTAGAATAGAATAATATAATTTATAAAAGATTTGGTACTGAATTATAAAATTAAATTATGAATGCAAAATGGAATAATATTATTTATAAAACATTTGTATTAAATTGAGAGTGTGAAATTGAATATAATTTATTATAAAACAGTATTATAATAATATTATAATAATATAAATTAGAATAGAATAATATAATTTATGAAGAAATTTGTATTAAATTATAAAAATTAAATTAGAATAGAATAATGATTTATAAACATGTAATTAGGAAAGCAAAACAGAATAATATAATTTATGAAGAAATTTGTATTAAATTATAAAAATTAAATTAGAATAGAGTAATATAATTTATAAAACATTTTGTATTAAATTAGGAACAAAATAAAAAAAATATCATTTGAAATGATTTCTATTTAATTATTACATTTAAATGAAATTAATGCAAACTAGAAGAATAATATAATATATTAATCAGTTTGTATTAAAGTAATTTTATAATGCAAAATAAAAAAATGGTTATGTATTAAACTTTCTAAGACTTTTATGTATGAATTTGAATGCATACCTCTAAAGGTATGTTAAAATATCTGAAATTACGTCTTGAATGCCACATTTTCTTTCTGGTTTTATGTATTAAAAAATTAATGAACAGTGAATTGTAAGGAAAAATGAGGCAAATGAGGGAATAAAATATACCATTCAATAGAAATTCACTTTTTATTTGTCCATTAAATTGTTTTACTCATCAATCATTTCACGCTCTATTGTGTCTTCTTCATCCCTTTTGTTTTTATACGTCTGTGTGTGTGTGTGTGTGTATATATGTGTTGTGCAGCTCTAGTGGTCAAGCTAAACTTGAAGTTGATGGCTCAGATCAGACTACACCCGTCATGCCCATAAACCCCGCCTCCGACTCCGCCCCCAACGCAAAGCGGCAAGTCAAACGGTGTATCCGCCGGCGACGGGAGAGCACCAGGACCGTTGGGTGTGCAACAGAGTGTGTGGACCAACCGAGACATTCACGGTTGCATAAGCAAACACACACACACTCTGACTCCTCCTCAGAGGACGAGCAGCGCTGGAGAGAAGCTCGCTCCTGGAGCCTCCAGAAAGCGCGACGGAGACGCAGCGGCAGCCGACACACGCAAGCGCATCCCCGTGAGGAACAGGACGCCACTAAGCTCATGTCTGTCAACTCAGACGAGGGACAGAAAGAGAACCAGCCACCACTGTGCAAGGGCCCCAACACCAGGGCCCATAAAAAGTTGTCAAAACGGGAGGAGCGTGGGGGCCAAAGCCAGACAGCCAATCACAGAAAAGCGAATGAGCTTGGTAGTAATAGGAGCAGAAGTGAGGAGGAAGAGCCTATTACAAAGACGTATGAGGAAAGAGGTTCAGGAGATCCAGATATGTCTGTCCCGTCCCCTTGTAAATGCACTATTCCTACCAATCAAAATGGTGCCACGCAACAAGCATGCACTGATGATGAGCTAGAGGTGTGCAGGTGAGAGAGCGTGATAGAGATGAATGAGCGCGAGAGGTTAAACCAGCGAGAAGCTGATGTGTTTTTGTGTGTGCAGGATCTGTCACTGTGAAGGTGACGAGGAGTGTCTGCTCATCACCCCTTGCCGCTGTACAGGAAGTTTGCGTTTTGTGCACCAGGGCTGCCTGTACCAGTGGATCAAGAGCTCCGACACACGCTGCTGTGAGCTGTGCAAATATGACTTCATCATGGAGACACACCTCAAGCCTTTGCACAAGGTAACACACACATACACACGTCTCTGAACAGCTCAGATCCTGTTTTATTAAACATCAGTGGCAGCTGGTGTTTTTCAAGACTACACTCTACAAATGCTGGGTTGTTTCAACCCAACTTTGGGTCAAATATGGACTAACCCAACTTTTGGGTTAAAACTTTAATTTAAAAATGTAACCCAACAGCTGGGTTATTCCATATTTGACCCAACGTTGGGTTAAAACAACCCAGCATATATTCACCCTAAAAATGAACATTTTGTCATCATTTACTCACCCTCTCCCTCATGTCGTTCCAAACCTGTATGATTTTCTTTCTTATGTTGAACATAAAAGAAGATATTTTGAAGAATGCTGGTAATCAAACAGTTGATGGTCCCCATTGACTTTCATAGTATTTCTTTCCCTATGGAAGCCAATGGGGACCAACAACTGTTTGGTTCTTCAAAATATCTTATTTTGTGCTCAACATAAGAAAGAAACTTGTACAGATTTGGAACGACATGAGGGTGAGTAAATGATGACAACATTTTCATTTTTAAGGTGAACTACTCCTTTAAGCAGCAACTATTTTCAACATTGATAATAACACTGAAACATTTAAGAATATTAGAATTATTTCGAAAGGATCACGTGACACTAAAAACTGGAGTAATGGCTGATGAAAATTCAGCTTTGCCATCACAGGAATATATTAAAAATAAAATATATTAAAATAAAGTTATTTTAAAGTTATGATATTTCATAATATTACTGTTTTACTGTATTTGTCGATCAGCCATGGAAAGCATGATGATGTTAAAAATCTTACCGACCCCAAACCTTTAAACGGTAGTGTTTACTACGTAAAATGAAATGAACAAGAATGTGAATATTTTAATGGCATCTGATTTGAGGCATTATAATATTGGAAATACATTAATATGGTATAAACTTGTTATTATAGGACAGGCATAAAATGCAAAACTCATTTTAATACAATTTGTAACAGTTCTCCAGCTTTGAAAAACAGTTGAAGACCCCTTCCATGAGACTTTTCAGAAATTCAAAATATATCAAAAATACCATTGTATTTTGACCAAAAATAATTGAAACCCACATATAATTTCAAACAAACACTTTCGACACAGTGTATGGCGTGTATCTCTTTCAGTGACTTTCATCATTTTTAAGCATATTTAAAGAGCACAAAGCAATAATTTAAAAAAGGAAATTAGATCATTTATGCCTACAGCAAAAATGATGATTGAGTTGCACACCAATGTTTAAATGATTAGGAGGTTGTTCAAAAGGGAGATGAGCAATAATAGTAGCGATGCTTGCCTTAGTAAACACTGCTAAACAATAAACTCATGGTTTATTGTGCTAATTATTCTGAATGTGGATGTATTGTGAAGGTCAGCACGCACATAGCCGAGTGCTGCCACATTTTGGCTAAAATAATAATTACAGGAAGGGAATACATTCATAAAGCTCTGGACCTGTTTGCTCTTTTTTTTTTAGTGGGAAAAGCTACATATGTCTACAAGCGAGCGGCGGAAGATCTTCTGTTCTGTGACTTTTCACCTGGCGGCTGTGGTGTGTGTCATCTGGTCACTCTACGTTCTGATTGACCGCACAGCTGAAGAGATCCGCCAAGGCAAGAACAATGGTAAACACACTAACACAGTAGCCTATATTTATGCATCGGTTTTAATGTTTGCAA